TTATTCAGAAAATATATTCCAAATACTTTTTTTTTTCCCTTAAAGAGGGCGTAGCTCTAAGTGGCCCATGCGGTTCAGAGCACACGCTCTAACTAACTGAGCCACCGCGTTGTCTCCAAATACTATTATTGGGATAATTGTTCTTAAAAAATTGCCCTTTATCAAGAAATCGACATTCATTTAGATTGAAGTGCATCTAAGATAGAACAAGGACAAATTTCATTTACAAAACTAGATTTTAAAAAATTGAAAAGAATTGGGATAGTCACTTAACCAAGTTAGTTTTAAAAGGAAACACAGAACATTTTTATTTTTATATGTCAAAATTTATATATTGCTATCAGTTGAGCTTTACTTTCACAACTTCTTTTGTTATCTTCACCAAATCTAAGTGTTGTCTCTGTTCTATTCCAACAGGCACCACAATTCACTTGGTGTCAAGTATAGATTTCAAATTGCATGTAGATTGCCATTTATGGTGTAAATAGCCACTTGGAATATGTTTTTTAATGTATGGTCCATGGACCACTTGCATCAGAGAGCTTTCTGGAATGCTCATATTTGGGAGCAGGAGACAGAAAAACACGTCTCGAAATGAAGGAGTAGAGGAATTCATGAGACCAGAAGATGTCTGTAAAACAGATGCAGACATCCCAACTTACACTTACAGTATCAAAATCACTCGGAGTTGTACCCGGGAATCTATATTTTAAAAACAAGAATTCCAGGCTACACATACACATTAAAATTGTAAGAAAATTTCTAAATAAAAAATAAAATGTAATAAAATTTTAATATGTCTGTGTGTATTTAGCCTGGGGTTCTTGTTGTGTTTCTCTCTCTCTCTCTCTCTCTCTCTCTCTCTCTCTCTCTCTCTCTCTCTTTCTCTCTCTCTCCCTCTCCCTCTCCCTCTCCCCCTCGCCCTCGCCCTCGCCCTCTCCCCTTCCTTCCCTCCCTCCCTCCCTCCCTCTCCTGTTAATTTCATATAGTAACTATTTTCTCCCATTTTTGTGTTTTATGAAAGGATTGAACAGCACCCAATTTGAGGTGTTTCCTGCTTTGCCTGACATTATTGCTTGCTCCTCATTTGAAATAACTTATCTCCTGTTACAGTATAAGAGACTAATATTGTGAGCATATTCAATATCAGAAGAGAGCCTGGCATTCTTAGTGATTACTTTTAGAGCCTTCCAGAATCTCATATTCTGGAGCAGGTCTAAGAAAAGAGTCTAGAGGTGATACAGACTCGGGGGAAATCCATGGAACCAGGAGAGACATTGCTGACATTGTGATGCACAGAGAAACATGCATAGAGAGGCACTGCGCAAGTCAATGGAAAGGAACATTTTAAAGTGGGCTACATGGGAAAATACTAAAGGGATTTAAAAAATGTTTCAAAGCTAAATGACTTTTATGTATTTTTTGTTGTGTAAACTGAAATATTACTTAAAATATCTTTCCCAAGTTTCTAACTAACTGCATTACTTTGTCAGTCTCTATTCACTGGAATAAATCATATCTTGCTTCTTCGAAAGGAAAACATTTTAGCAATTTCGTTTTAGCTTGTGATCTCACAGGAGGAAAGTAATTCTTAGAGCAAAGCTTCAAAGATTTAATATAAGATAAACAACTCTTTTCATCAAACTTAGTAGTAAATGTAACAAAACTGCAGCCATAATAATTCACTTTAATATTAAAATAAAATCAAACACAACTCTTTAGTCTGATTACTTTGGCATGAGAAAATACTAAAGGCTCAAAAAATAAATAAAAATTAGTTAAAACTTGAAATTAGCAGAGAAAATATGTTGAAAATTTATAAATAGATTTTTTCTGTCATTTTAAACATAATCTTATCTCTGTCTTCAGAGAAGCAGAAGAGATAAAATAGTCATTTAAGGAAGCTATGAAAATGCAAGGCATGAGAACTTTGTTGTGATGATTTTAGGAAGGTGAGAAAGGACCTAGTTCTCAGTTCACATTAGAAGTAACGTGACCTTCTTTCATTTAACAAAATATTCAGTGAGTGCCTACTATGTACTGGACCCTGTCTTAGCCACTGGGGTTACAGCAATGATATAGGGCAGTGGAGAAAACAAAGAAAAGAAGTTTGGAAATGGCACCAAAGGGGTGGTTTTGCAGTTGTACCTATGCGAGTCAGTGAGGGCCTCACTGAAAAGGTGACAGTAAAACATGGTCATTCAGGGCATATGAGATTGAGCCATGGAGAATTTGAGTCATGAGTCTTGGATGAGCAGTCCAGATAAACTTAGCAGGAGGTACATTTGTCCTGGGGCAAAAACATGCCTGCCATATTCAAGGAACAGCTAGGAAGTCACTGAGGGTGAAGTGAGTGAACAAAAAAGTCTGTAAGAGGTGGCGAGGTTGGCGAGGTCAAGGGGGCGAGATAGGTAGTATCTCACAGATCATTATTAATAAGTACTTTGGCTTTCATTGTAAGTGATATGAGACTCCTTTCTCAAAAGGGTAATGACAAGTAATGACCAGAAAGAAGCGACAGGGTTTGACTTATTCTCACAGGAATATTCTAGCTGCTAGATTAGGAAGAGATTATAAAGAAATAAGGGCAGACTCAGGGAGAGCTGTTAGGAGGCTGAGAGATGATGGTGGCTGGAACCAACAACAGTGGCAGCAGTGGACATAAAAAATGGTGGGATTCTGGATTTATTTTGTCAGCAGAGCTGACAGAATTTGCTAACAACAACAACAACAACAACAAAATGCATGTAGTTTGTGAAAGAAGTCAAAATGGCTCTAAGGATTTTAACCTGAGCAACTAGTAGGATAAAGGTGGTATTAACTGAGATGATGAAAATTTCAAAAGAAGCAGGTTTATGGGGGGCAATCATCAGAAGGTAGCTTTGGTGTGCGTTAGGTTTGTGATGCTTATCGAATTTCTATTGGAGTTGTTGAGTAATAAGTGGTACATATGACTGGATTTTAGGGAGCTCTCCAAGCTGGAGTTATAAATACAGAAGAGAAAGATACAGAAGTGGTATTTAAAGCTGCAGGGCTGAAGGTTGAAAAGAGAAGAGGTCCAAGAATGAACAGCGGGGCGATGTGAAGAGCCAGGAGAAGAGAGGAGCCAGCAGGCAGCCTAAGCCGGACTGCACGAAGCATGGCCTCCTCATTCATTGCCTTCGGAGGGCACTGGCAGTGTGTAGGCTCTCGTGACCCAAATGTCTTTTTTCTTTTTGTGGGATTCATCTGATCGCTTGTCATTTGGTCATAACTTGATCTATATCTTAAAATCTTGGGCTTGCTTACTCATGAAAGTGAGCTTCCCTTCATGCCTGCATCACATTCGTTTTAAACATCCTTATTGGGAGTCGGCTTCATCTGAGTGTAAGATGCATTTTTGAAAACTGTCAGAAGTGATTTGGGGATCCATCTGGTGAATGAAACGGGTGACCAAATTCATTCATATTGCTTTTGATCAAATATTAGGCATGACTATTGAGTAGCATCACCAAGTTTACTGTGCGATTCATATGCCAGATCTAAAAGCAATGTCAACAGGCGTGTTCTAAAATGTTTTTGAGCAATGACATTACTGGAATAAACATTTAGTTTCCAAGAGGATTCTTTTTAATTAATAATCATATATCATATCCATATAAAAGTCCTGTTAACTTGAATAACACAATTCTTAATATTCTATTATTTTTTCATATATATATTTATATAGATACTTAAAGTGCATGAACATGGGTATAGCCATAAATAATATCTAATTGAATCTTTCTCTCCCTCCCTAAGAATTTCTTAAACAACTGCTATATTCATTTACGATGATGATCTTATCAAAAGCAATTGAAAATAATTATTTTTTGAGTAAAAATTCTACAAAAAACGTTTAATAATATTTTCCCAGCTATTACAAAAATTGCTGATTGTCAACACCACAGATTTATAAACAAGGATCCTTGGATAGCTGGCTAATACTAAGTTTGTAATGGATGTGTCCCCTACAGATTATGCCAACTATTTGCTCACTGAACAAATATTTATTAATTTCTAGTATGTTCCAGCTGCATGCCATGTTGAGAGGGTTTGCTCCTTTAAATCCTTCCAAGTGCATCCTGAGAGAGTTCTATGCATAAAGGAGAAAGCCAAAACAGTGTTACTGACTTTCTCCACATCTGTGCAGTCTCTTGGGGAGTTTCCCATGTGGAGAAGCCATTTTGACTAAACAAGAGGAAGACTGAAGAAGCTGGTGAGGCTTAGTTACCCTTTTCTGTTTACTGCACTAATAACTGACCTGTGTCACAGAAAGCTCCCTCTCTCAATGACATGACCCAGTTGCTGTCCTTGTTTCTGACTTGACCCAGGTCAAGTTAGGGAGGAATGAGGTGTAATGGAAAAAGGGCAGCTTTAAGTTTTCTTTAGAGTCTAACTACAGTTGTAGGTTCTGGGGGTGCAAAGATGGGGTTCCTGTCCTCTAACAATTTATTACCTTTTCAGGAAAAAGAAGTATCTGTGAGCAATTACATCAGAATATGATAACTGTTGTGGTGGTATAAACTCAAAGAACAATGGGAGTCTGGGGGGACCCTTTAGAGATCCTGGCCTCACAGAGAAGATGCTAGAACCATGCAAAGAGATGAGTCACTCCTCCAGTAAGCTCAGCATGATGAGATAGATGTAAATTCTTGCAACCAAGCTTTTTTTTCCCCTTTAGCTTTTAGTATTCTAGTTAGTTCTCCTTTCTCAAATATTTTTCACTAGATTTTTCCTGACACTTTATTTTGAATAAAGTCTGATTTTCATTCTAGGACTTTCCCTGTGAAATATTTTATCATCTTTACCCCAAGGATCACAATCATACTGACATAGAACATTGTAATTGGTTCATTGTTTGTCAGTTAAACCTGGTGGCTGGCCCCATTCCTCTCACTAATGTTGACATTAATTGCCTAATGGAAGCAAGTGATTTTTAAATGTAAGTTTACATGTCTCATTAGATATGACAAACTTACAATGTTTTTCATGTGTTTCACTAGTATGGTCAACTTCGTGTCTTCATATGATATGACTAACTGCACCTTCGGCGTCTTGTCATGAAACTTCTCACCTGATAAAACAATAGAATTTCAGTGGGTTAAATGACAGTGGGTCATCACAGGATAAATTAAACGTTTAAAGACTAAAAGAGGACCAATGGATAGTATAGAAAAGAAATGTTCTTCAGATAATGCTGAAAACACAATACTCTTCAGGAAACGGGGTTGATTAAAGATAGGATTTATATCTAATGTTCCTGAACCAACTCTTTCTCCTCATATTCCTTTCTCCTCATTGTTTTGATTGATGGCATTATTTTCCCTATTATTTAAGCTTGAAACCTCAGTGTCATTTTTGGCTGCCATTTTCTCCTCAATGTTCAGTACAATGAGCTGCAAGTGTTAGCATAGAGGTTGAGTGTTGGCATTAGAAGTCAGTGAGTCTGGGGTTCAGGTCTCAGCACTCTACTTAAGACTGAGTCATCATGACTACATTGATCAACTTCTGTAAAATGGAGATAATATTATAGTCACTTACTTCAGGTTAGTTGAGTTGATTAACTGATAAAATTCAAGTTTTTACAATGTAATTTCTCGATAAGTGTTTGCAATTACTAGCAGTCTTTCTCCATATACTTGCACTCCTCTCTTCCTTTCTAGTTCCACAGCACCTACTTCAGACTCATATGGACCTTTTGCCTGAACTACTAGAACATTCTCTTCCTTTCCCCAGAACCCAAATCTATCTGTACACAATTACCAGTATACTCTTCCTATAGCAACTTTTATAAAATGACTCTTTTGATCAAAGTACTGTTGAATGGCTTTCCATTGCATCTGAAAAAAAATGTGAATTTCTCATCCTTGTATTGTTGCTTCTTATTGAATCCCTCTGTTTTATTCCCCACTATTTTTTATTCCATTCTGTAGTCTGTCTGTTCAGTTCTACAAAGACACTCTATTTCCTTCCAGTCATTGCTCATATTATTCCATTTTATTTGAAATGATCTCTTCCACCATATTTGGTTTGAACTTTTACCTTTCTATAAGGCCTACTTAAAATGCAAAGTACTCGCTGTGGCTACGTCCCTCTGAATTCCCCTAGCACAGTCTTTTCACTTAATATTTATATTGTAATTATTATCTTACAAGTCTCAATTTGCTTAGTGGACTACAATCTCTCTCAGGGCTTACATTTTTTGAAAATATCTCCATGAGATATAAATCAGTATTTGCTGCATGATGTCACACTGAACATTAATAACAAAAGTAACCTTGATTTTTCTTTCAAGTTATATCATTCCATTATTAATATGAGGGCTTTAGTTTTTTGATTAAAAATTTCCAGTTTATAGCCCAAGGATTAAGCATAATTTACAGTTTTTCTAATATTTCTGTTGGTAATCTCTGGTTGTATATTCTCTGAAGGAATTAAGAAAGAAGACATATATTAATGACAAAGAATTTGGCAATGTCTTGTTGTGGGTTCACAGTGAATTTTTTGATAGTCAATCTTTACACTCTAACCCTCGCTAACATTTGAAAATTAAGCCTGGTTGTTATGTTGCCATTCCCAAAGCCTTTTACATGTTTATTAGAATAGTTTACACACTGGAATAGGTACTATTAATTAATTTTATTGCTACTGTGAATTATTGACATTGAAGTAATTAAAATAGGCACTGAGTATTTCTTACAATTGAAATGGTAATTTCATAAATATAATAGAAACATTTCTTCCTTAAACTATCTTGATTATAATGACAGAGAGACATTGTGAGTTAGAGATACTGTGAGACAATTATGAGTATAATATTGAGGTAAATTGAATTTCATAATAAAAATATGTAGTTGAACTTCTGATATGAGCATGAAAAAAAGGCTAGTGGCTTTTGATGCACAATAAAAGTTATTTTTGCATTAAAGAGTGAAATGATTATTAGATACAATCTCAATGTAAAATTTAAGCAGAGGAGTTTTAATTCAAAGATAGGAAATTCACATAAATTTATGATTATCTAAATGGTAACCAATTCAACTACTGCTACTTGAACTGACTGAAGATGTTATTCCACTCAAAATCTCCTCACGCAAAATTAGTAACCAGAGTATCCATCAAAACATGCCAGAGTTCAGAACCCAGTGAAAATTCAGGCCAGTTGAAAGTCTTAGGAGTCAATGTAACAATAGTAGAGGTACTTAGTGTTTCTAGAACTCTTACTGTGTGCCAAACATAAAGCTAAGAGCTTTATGTACATAATAAACTTACTAAACCCACAGCAAAGCTATAAAATTTGTATTACCTCCATTTTACACATGAGGAAATTGAGGCATTTGGTCCAAGGGCATACGGACAGTAAACCGTGCAAGGCTAAATTATTTTTTAAAGCCTATGTTTTCAAACATCATGCTGTAAAGGGGCAAACAAAGGGGCAATAACCTAAAAGAAAGAGTTTAAATGAGAAACCCAGAGAGGGAGAATTTTGAGAATAGCTTCATATGGACAAGAAGATACTAGAATATTTAGATGTTTTGCTTCAAGTTAGTCTAGGGGATCCAATCATGCTTAATCTAGCCATTTATAGTAACCCCAGAACTGTTAAAATATTGATCCTAAGGATGATTGTTCTGAAATGTTCTGCACTACAGCAGCTAATACAGTGCTTATTATGCATAATGTATCCATTAATGTTAAAAAATAACATTGTAAAATTGAACTTTTTCACATAATATGGTCACATGATTCAAAAATGAAAATGTATTTTAAAAGTATACAGTAAAAAGTCTTTCTCCCATCCCTAATGTCTATCCACCCAGTTCACCCACCATTATTTTATTCGTTTCCCATATATCATTCCAGAAGGACACATGTCTTTCCAGAGTTCCTGAATGTAAGGAAATATAAATAAGTATTTTAATTTTTCCCACAAAAGGAATCGCATGTTTACTATTCTACACAAAGATCTTGGAGATGTTTTCATATCAGTAATACAAACTTTTATTTTGTTAAATATAGTTTCATATTATTCTGTTATATGGAAATACCATAATTTATTTAACCAGTTCCCCATTGATGGACAGGTGGGATGTTTGCATTGTTTTCTAGCTGATACAAATCATTCTGAAATGAATAGCCTCGTATATGTGTCATTGTGTACTATGCACAAACATCATAGGATACATTTCCAACAGTAGAATTGCTGGTCAAGGGTATCAGCATTTGTAATTTTGATAAATGTTGCAAATTGCCTTCCATGGAGGTTGTACCGATTTGCATTACCATCAGCAGCATATGAGAGTGCGTGTTGATTTGTGACCAAGCTTGTTAATTAAATTTTTGAAATTTTGCCAATCTGATGAATTAAACATGGTATCAGTGTAATTTTAATTTGCATTTTTCTTATGAGTGAGGTTGAGGATCCTTTCATTTGGTTAAGGACCACTTGTATTTTCTTTTTTTGTGGATTATCTTTTCATATTCTTTTTATAATTTTCTATTCAGTGGTCTTTTTCTTACCAATTTCTAGGAGATGATTATATGGTAGATAACTAAACCCTTTATCTGTGAAAAATTACAAACATTTCATCCATTTTGTCATTTATCTTTGTATTGTTTTGGATTTTGCAATGATGTTTTATATCATGCAAAATTTTTATGGCTTCTGGATTTGTAGTCATAGCTATAACAGCTCCTCCCAAGATTATAAAGGGTTTTCTCCATGTTTTTGTTGTCACATGTATGGTTTCATTATTTGCATTTAAAATCTTTCATCCATTTGGTTATTCATCCTGGCATATGCTATCCCAAAAATGTTTATTGAATTTTTCCCTCACTGGTTTGGCCACATATTAAATTCCTGAATGAATTTGACTCTATTTATTGGACATCCTATTATGTTCCATTTGTTCATCTATTTTTGCACTGACACCACCCAATTTTAATTATTGAGGCTTTGTAATTTGTTTTTATACCTGGCAGGATTAACCTCACCTCTTTTCTCTGTCTTCGCTAAGTTTTCCTGGCTTTTCTTTGTGAACTGTGCAATTATCTTATCTAGTTAAAAATAAGTCTATTAATATTTCTAAAAGTTATATTTCAAAACTAAATTGAAAATATCCGACAATTTTATGTTGAATCTTCCTATCCAGGAGCATGCTATGTCTTTCCATTTGTTGAAGGCATCTTTCAGATCCCTTAGTGGTGTTTTAAGGTTCTCTTCATTTGGCCTTGAACATTTCCTACTAAATTTATTCCTAGGTATGTTTGTTTGTTTTAGCTGCTATTATAAATGGGATCTTTCTTCTATTATATATTCTAACTAGTTAATATCTATGTATATCAGTTTGGTATCCAATAACTTTATTGAATTTTCATCATTTGTGATAGATATTAGTTCATTCTTATTTGTCTAGTTACGTGATCATATTACTAGCAGTGTTAATTTTGGCTTCTCCTTGCCAAAGTTTGTCCTTCTAATTTCTTTTTCTATTTCATTTAGTCATTTCACAAATACTTATTGGCCTATTATGAACAAGGCACTGTTCTAGGCCCTTGAAACAGATTAGACAAAATTCCTATTGGCATTTGTATTGTAACAGGGGTAGATATAAAAAAGCAATGAACAACATAAATTAGTAAAATTTATAATATGCTGAAGGTGATGAATGATAAGAAAAGAACCCAGAGAGGATAAAGGCCATCAGGGGCTACTGGAATAAGAGGCAGGTGTGATTTTAGATAGGATTATTGGGGTACTTCTCATTGAGAAGGTAAATTTTGAGCAAAGATGTGAAGGAGGTGAAGAAGTGAGCTCCATGTTGGCTTTGTGCACTGTGTGATATAGTCATGAAGATCCTGGGCATAGAGCCTCATTTTATACTTTGGTGGAAATGCTTTTTGCTGTTTCCCTGTCATGCCTGATATAGGCTTTGGACAGCCAATATTGATACATTTTCTCATGTTAAGGTATTACCCATTTATTTTTATTTGAATGTTTTATCAAGAAAACATATTGAAAATTTTCAAATGCCTTTTCAGGGTCTATAGAGATGACCATGTAATTTTCTCCTT